TTTTTTTATTAATTATGTAAACCTATTAAATATTTATTTTGTAGGAAAATCAACCATATGTTAAAAGTGTTGCAGAGAAATTTTCAAAAAAAATTGGAAGATTCAAGTTTATGTAGATCCAGAGAAACTATAAGAGAAATTATCAGCAGTTTAATGTCCTCTTTATTGAAGTAGTGCTACATGAGGAAAATGCTGTATCGTCATCTTATAATCAAAATGATCTCAAACAACTTTTATAAAACTATGAACGATATTTATTTATAGATCATGCTATAGATTCTATTAATACTTTTTTTTTTATTATATCACAATGTGTAATTATTTATCGATTACATAAACATTACATCATTAGTTATTTAATTAACCAAAAAAAATTACATCTTTATTAATAAAAAATTAATTCTTCACCAAAAAAAAATTATATATAAACTAAGCAAACGTGCATTACACGTTGCTTACACCTAGTATACCTATATGTGTGTGGGGCTTATTTATTTATTTATTCTGAATTTGAGGAAGATGATATGAATTGGTCCTTTAAATCACCTTTTACTAATAAATTGGTCCTTTTGCAAAATAGTGTGCGCAACATTTAGTCTTAAAAACGTTTACTATACATAAAATAAATTTTCACCGTCGGGTCCAATATTTGGAAAACATTAAACTCCATCCTACTTTATTTAAATAATTTTTCTTTTTAACGAAAACATGCATGATTGCTTGTTGAACGTTTCTGAAACTAAATTTATTTAAGTCATGTCGGATAAGTATTAGACTTTCATTTCTTTTTAAGGCCAAGCATAAGACTCATTAATGGTCTACTCGTGGTGCTAGATCATCACATTAAAATACGAGCCTAATTTCTTTTGCTCTCTTTTTTTTTTTTGGGCGCTCCTACACATACCATTCCAATTTCACAATTTTGAAAATAGGCCCTTTTAAAATTTGCAAACTAACCACAAATCAAAGTTGCAACTAAGGGACCAAAATTTCTCAAATTGCAACATAAGCCCCCATTCCCAAATCTTCTTTCCCTAACCCTAAAAAAAAGGAAAAAAAAAAATCTTCCTCTTGGAGGCGCCGCATTCGGCATCTGACACCACGTGCCAACCCCATTGTTGCTTTCTCGTAGCTGCTTCTATCAATACACGAAGCAACTGCGCACACCGCTAGTGTTAATGGTTGTTGCCGTCAGTAATGCCACCCAATTCGATTTTTTACCCCAAAATATTTTTTCTTTTTAAAAATAGATTTTAGAAGATAAAAATAATTTTCTTAAAAGTTAGAAATAAGAAATCAATTAACAACCAACCATTGATTGTTCCCAAAGATTCAAAACAATCTTTATCCAATACAAAGTAGACTCTGATACCACTTTTAGAAATTTACATAATCATGCACAAAGAAATTTAAAACAACTTCAATTCCCACAAAGGATATGCTTTATGTTAAATAGAAACTGTAATTAGAATTATACATTTAGTTAATCCTGCAAAAAACAATCATGATTTGCAATCCACAACTATCCAATTGTACATCCTCTAATGGTAATCCACATAAGAGAACAAGAATGAGATTAGAGAGTATATATTTTCTTGCTTGCAAAATAGTGATTGTGTGTTATAATTTTTCAAACCCTAACGGCTTATTAATAGAACTTTAAGTGCGCTTGACCCGCCACTTACACTTAATTCGGTCCAATATCTAATTAATCTAATTAATTAAACTTGGTTCATAAATTCATTAATAAGTAATTCAATTAATTAATTGTACAAATATCCAACACTGTCAATTAATTAATAAGTAACATCATTATTCTAATTCTCTTTTTTTGTGTGTGATTCATTAAACCCCTGATCACGATACCTAACGACATAAATTATTATTTTACTCTAATCAAAATTAGATATATTATTTTAATGTATCATCAATTCACATTCATCGTCTCAAATTGACATATAGCAATGTGTTCTGGTAATACAAGTGATAAAAATGACATGGTATGATGAAATCAAACTTAATTCATTTATCGTAAAATTATAATTCCTTTGTTTATATGATCCAATCAATAACGAGATATGAAGTGTGTTAATCTCGATTATCAATCATATTTTTCATCTCATTATTAAGTCAATGTAAGTCAAATTTCTTTTCCAACTTTTGAGTACACTTCGACGAAAGATTCCATTATTAACTTAATTGAACGAAATACAGATCATAATTTTTTATTATGTATGGGTGACGAATTATCTATTAATCATTCATAATCTTCATATAATTCTTGACATACTTGAGCAACGTCGTATTAGTAACCCTCGGTAGAGCAACATTCCATATCACCAAAGTATGACCATCCCCACATAAAGCAACATGATAACCTCAGTCCAACTATCATTCATCCACCGAATGTTGGAGATTAAAAATTGACACTCAAATAGTTATCAATGTGGAATCTCTCCATGAGTCTCCAATGTTTCATTCTTACAACATAACATTTACGCATTCATTTAAATGTTATATTTTAGTTTGTGAGATTAACTACTTACTTTACAAGTAAGAAATGCCACATGTGATGATCTATCCGTAATAACGATAACCGTATCTTGTTATTATTTATGATCAAAGATAATTTAAAATAAGATTCAGTAATATGTAATTTGTTTCTAAAACTTGAATCTACGAACTCTATTGCATTAATCATATCAAAAGTGTTTACCTTCAAAATCAATTGGACCCAATGCATAACACTTACATAACTAAGCAAAAGTAAAGAAAGACATGATACTGGATAAGGAGCCGATCACTATACAGAATTTACCAGCTTATAGCATTAAAAGCTCCATGTAGTTTAAAGATCCCGTCCTAGAGGATATTTTAAAATAATAATAATAATAATAATAATAAAAAATCTGACACTTTCCAATGCAAAAGCAACTATATATCCAAAAATATGTACAGACACGAAGAGTTCTTACTTCAAGTAAGCGAGGTAGATTAAGACGACTCCAAGATCCTCATCTCTTCATAAGCCAACCTCTTTTGAAGTCCTCGTTTATGTTGTTCAAAGTCCAAAAATAAAGACATCAACTGCTTAGCTTTCCTGTATGCTTCAGTTCCCGAATGAACCACTGTTAGTTCCTTGTCGATGTCCGTATTCTTACAAGTATCCTGCAAAATTAACAATTTTAAAATTTAAATTCATAGAATAATTTATTCCTCTCATTTATTTCCCAGCAAACTCAAAAAGCGATGGGAGCAGTCTCATCAATTAACAAAACAAGCTAAACAACTAAGAGAAGTATGCAATTCTATCATCAGAGTTATTCGTAGTTTTAAGATTAGCCACACTTAAATCCCTCGAGGATCTTAACTGTTTATCCCTGCGAGAACTTATAAATGCACGTCGTTGAAAAGACTGATTTTCATTCTTCCTCGGTTCTTATTAGGGGAGCTGAAAAACTGTATAGCTTACAACCAACTGATTCATTCACAGGAAAATAATAATATAGAATTTCTACAAGTCCCACTCGCAGGCTTCCAGCAGCAAACCATAATTTATGAGATGACATTAACAGCATGTTGTTTTGAATTGATATGTAGAACAAGAGAATCAAATTGAAGATTACTACCAGAGACACAATTTTTGCAATATATACGCACAGCAAGATTGCACTCCCAGAAAAAAAAAAAAAAAAAACTTAGGATGGCATCATCTAGTGTCAAATAAATCTCAAATTGACAGTAAGAACACTATAACAAAGACAATCACCAAAACAAGTTAGTTGATGAGCAAAATTAATTGAAGCTTGTCACCAGGATGTGGATGCAATATTCAGTGATTTTAAGTACTCAATCAACATCAAAGAAGCTTAATTTGGTACTGTTCCATCCAAACTCAGAGTTGAGATTGTTAGAATCCGCTAACTTTCATCAACAGTTCATCAAAGGACTCTCCAACCTTGTAGATCATTTGACGGACTTGTCAGAAGGATAGAAGGGAGAAAGGATTGTGATGTCATAGTGCCTTCGAAGTTTTGAAGAAAGCTATTTCATCAGAACAAGTGCTGAAGCTGCCTGAATTTAAACCCTTTGAAATTCATACAGTCACAGATACTTCCAGGCTGTGCTAATGGTGCGGTGTCAGTTCAGGATTAGCACCCAATGATGTTTCACTTCTGGAAGTAGAAGCGTTTCAAACTGCACTTCATTACTCCTTGGAATGAAATTACTGCACTTGTACATTGACAGATGCTTGGAAAATTACTTGCTAAGCACAACGTTCTCATTGATATTTACCATTGAAGAATAGTGTTGCCACCACAAGTCTCAAATTTTCAGAAGAATCCGAGTCCAAAGCAGAGTTGCTGTCAAGAGTTCCTTGATGAGTTTTGAGTTTCAGCAGGTTCATAGACTGGGAAAAACAATGATGTAGCTGATGCTCTGAGTAGAAATTAGTGACAACGGGACTTCGTAACAAGAGCTAGAATTGTAAGAGAAGGGGAAGAAGGAGAGAAGGCCAAGAGACAAGAAAGAGAGAGCAATTAGTCTTTGCATTCGATTCACTCAAAATTGTTCAATACACTGAAAAGTATTCCATAAATAGTCTTCTTATAATATCCCCAAGGATCTTAATCATCAAATAGTCTTCTAACAATATCCCACTGATCTCCATCAGTTTGTTTAACAGTTTGTGCCAGTTCTTACAGTAGAATTAGAATTCTTAGATAACGTTCACAGATAGGTGTTAACCTCCAAAATTAGAAATTCTTTGAGAAAAATCTGACTCGATTCAAAAATATTGAATCATGAAAGAGATATTTAATGCTAGGGGTGGCAGAGTGTTATTGCAACCTGTACCCATTTTGGACAGACCATGGCATTCTTTTTAATGGACTCTATTTCGGGTCAGTAGATGAATGTCCTTAATACTTCCTATTAAGAATTGAAGTTCCATCTTAAAAGGTCAACCTTATTAAGAGGAGTAGCCTAAAATCTTTATTAATTGGTCAGTGTCAGCATTATTTATCGATGTGGGATATATATCTCTTAACACGCCCCCGCAAGATGGTGGCTCATTTGAGCAGACCAATCTTGAAATCCACGTGCTCACTTTTTTCGTGCTCCCTGAAGTCACTGCTGATGTATTTTGAAGAATTTTATTTATTATTGTGTGTCATTAGAAAATATTATCAGTGATGGCTGAAGGTCATACTCAGTTTCACAGGCAGGTCTCGAACTGCTCTGTTCATATGACAGGCGTAGACCTTAAAAGTTTTTTACAGAAACCCCCCACCTCAGCATAGAAGGTCAAACCCATTACTTGCCGGGAGGCTTTCTGCGGCCTGTTGATATGTCAGGACCAAAATGGAGTTGTTCTACGAGCCAAAGACTGTTCACTCAAGGCTCAGTAAAGAATGAAGGAATATGCTCATGAGGGTGAAGGTGGAAATTTACTCCCAAAATTTGGATGGTTGGTTCAACGTCAGTTCATGATGGTCTTTTTGTTGTACAGCTACCTTGTGAAGTGATGAAGAAAGTTAAGAATGTTTACAATCAGTTGAAGCTTTTGGATCAGTTGAATAACTAACCCATATTTCATCTTATTGTCAACAAGTTTAATCAAGATCAGTTGGTTAATGAGAAAGCAGTGAACGCGTTCACCTATTTATCAAAGAAGAATTGGATCGCAAGGCTAAAAAATCCCCGATCCAAACCAGGAAAACAGGTAGATTGAGTGGTAAATTTTACCCATGAAATATCGGAATGAATAAGAAGATTTTATTCATTCAAGCAAATTCCGTATTATGCTGATAAACCTCCCATTCGATTCACCTATCAACGGCGTCACAAGAAAATGATGTGAGGGGAGTTAGGAGGGAATATTAGCTGTCAGATTTGTTGAGATAATTAGTTATGCTGATGTCATAGTTGTTAATAAATAGTGGAGTAGTAGAGTCGAGTGGGGCATTCAGAAAAGAGGAAAAATCTGAACCAATTGGAGAGGGGCAGCTCTCGAAACCTGCCGTGTTACTCTTTACTACCGTCTGTTCAATTTACACATTCAATCAAACATTTCTTCTCTTATTCAGTTCTGCGTTGCTATAATTCAGCCTTGATTAGGTCGAATTGTATTTTGGTGCAACTAATTTCACTGGGTTTAAGCGGGTTCCATCAAATTGGTATCAGAGCTGCCGATTTCTGGGTAGATGGCCGTGACGAGACTGGATACGAGGATTGAAATACTCGAAGCTTCGATAGCCCAGGTCCCGACTTTGGGCTCGTTAGTGCGGGAGTTGCAGGGGAACGTAGAGCAATTGAATGCAAAATTGGGGATGGAATTGGAGAAGATGAATGAGAAAATTGAGGCGAGTTTGGCATTGGGTCGTAGGGAGCTGAACGATGGTCTGCAAACAATAGCGAAAATGATAAAAAGTCAGTTATCAGATCAGCAGCCCATGGTAGGAGAAAAGAGTGGAATGAAATCTCAGGCCACCGACGACGAACAAATTGAGCCGGAAAAGGTGGTCCGGGAGAAGCAGAATCTGGAGGTGGGGGAAGGTCACTATCGCAAGCTGGAATTACCTCTGTTCAATGGCAGTAACCCAGATGCATGGATTTTCAGAGCTGAAAGATACTTCAGCGTGAATAAGTTGAATGATGCTGAACGGGCCTTGGCTGATGTGGTGTGTATGGAGGGCAGCGCTCTTTCATGGTTTCAATGGGAAGACGGGAGACGGCCTATGCGAAGCTGGAGGGACCTGAGACAACGCCTATTGGAAAGATTCAGAGACACTCAATATGGCACTCTGCACCAACGATTTTTGGCAATCAGACAAACGGGAACTGTAGCAGAATTCAGAGAGAAGTTTGAAGTATTGGCAGCAACGCTTAAGGATGTGAACGAGGAAACCTTAGAAGGGGTTTTTATCAATAGGCTGGAAGAAGAGCTACAAGCTGAAGTTCTGATGGCTAACCCGAAAGGGTTATCTCAAGTCATGGTATGGCACAAAGGATTGAGGATCAAAATTTGCGAATCAGTAAAGCTCGGGAGAAGGAGCGCCCACGCTATAAAAATTCAGCCTATTTTTCTCCTGCTCGGACTGAAAGTAAAACTATTCCATGGCATCCTCCTCGAGGGAATGCTCCGATAGAGAAGGCAGGAACACACTCCATGAATTTAACTTCAGCGTTTAAGAGGCTTTCACAGGCAGAAATACACGCAAAAAAGGATAAGGGGCTGTGTTTTAAATGTGATGAAAAATACACCATCGGGCATAAGTGTCGCAACAAGGAATTGCATGTGTTGCTAGTTGATGATGAAATTGCAGTGGGTGATGAGGAGGAAGAAACAGAGGAGAAAATAGAAAGGACAGATTTAGAAGGAGTCGAGCTGTCCATGAATTCCGTGGTTGGGTTGACATCACCCAAAACTATGAAGGTGAAGGGCACCGTTAGTGGACAGGAGGTGGTGGTGCTGATTGATTCCGGCGCAACACATAATTTTATATCTTTAGCATTGGTTCGGAAATTGGAGATACCCATTACTGAAACAAATGACTATGGAGTGCATGTGGGTTCTGGGATGGCAGTAAAAGGAAAAGGAATATGTAAAGGAGTGGTGCTTTACATGCAAACTATTGTAGTCATTGACGAGTACTTACCCTTGGATTTGAGTAGTTCTGACATAATTCTGGGGATGCAGTGGCTGAGTACTTTGGGCACCGTTCAAGTGAATTGGAAGTTGTTGGAGATGAAAGTACCAATGGGGGATAGAACAGTCACTTTGAAAGGGGATGAGGGGCTAAGTAAATCCTTAGTCTCCTTGAAGTCGATGTTAAAAACCATACAGAAGGAAGGGGAGGGCCTTTTGGTAGAACTTTGTTCAGTTCAGGTGGAAGAGCATAAGCTGGAATCCCACATTTCAGCTCCAATTCAGGAAATTCTGGCATCCTATAAGACTATTTTTGAGATGCCGGTTGGATTGCCCCCTCCCAGAGGTCATGAACATGCCATCACATTGAAGCCAGGAACTGAACCTGTTAATGTTAGACCTTACCGCTATCCCCATGCACAGAAGGCAGAAATCGAGCAGTTGGTGGCTGACATGTTAGAAGCAGGGATAATCCAAACCAGCATCAGCCCATTTTCAAGCCCCGTGCTCTTAGTAAAGAAGAAAGATGGGGGATGGAGGTTTTGTGTGGATTACAGAGCCCTGAACAGAGCTACAGTACCTGATCGGTTTCCTATACCAGCCATTGATGAGCTTTTGGATGAATTGCATGGTGCCACCACCTTTTCCAAGCTAGACCTGAAGTCAGGGTATCATCAGATACGTTTGAGGACTGGGGATGAACACAAAACGGCTTTTCGAACACATGAAGGGCATTATGAGTTTTTAGTAATGCCTTTTGGGCTTACTAATGCCCCAGCCACATTTCAGTCATTGATGAATCGTGTTTTCAAAAGCTTATTGCGAAGATGTGTCTTGATTTTCTTCGATGACATTCTGGTATATAGTCGTTCCTTGGAGGAGCATTGTAGGCACCTGAGAGATGTGTTAAAGCTCTTACATGAGTATTAGCTTTATGCTAACAGAAAGAAGTGTGAATTCGGCTGTGCTACTCTAGAATATCTAGGGCACATAATCAGTGCAGAAGGCGTGGCAGCTGATCCAGGAAAAATATGTGCGATGCAATCGTGGCCTGTTCTTCGAAATATCAAGGAGTTACGTGGCTTCCTAGGGTTAACGGGGTATTACCGAAGGTTCGTGGAAGGTTATGGGAAGATAGCTGAACCGTTGACCCGACTACTGAAGAAAGACGACTTGAACTGGGATCACGAAGCTGAACTGGCATTTCATAAATTGAGGGAGGCCATGACTAAAGTTCCAGTGTTAGCATTGCCGGACTTCACTCAGCCTTTTGTTGTAGAAACTGATGCATCTATAGTGGGGTTAGGGGCTGTTCTGTCCCAGCAACACAGACCCATTTCTTACTTCAGTCAAACCTTATCACCCAGGGCTAGACTCAAGTCGATCTACGAAAGGGAACTCATGGCCATCGTTCTTTCTATTCAGAAGTGGAGGCACTATCTTCTGGGAAGACACTTCGTAGTTCAGACAGATCAGAAAAGTTTAAAATTTTTGCTAGAACAACGTTTGGTATGTTTTGAACATCAAAGGTGGATTACTAAGTTACTTGGTTATGATTTTGAAATACAGTATAGACCTGGCCTTGAGAACAAGGCCGCTGATGCATTATCTCGACTTCCACTGGCGGCGGAGTTAGCAGTCATTTCGGTATCCAAGGTATTGGACCTGGGGGTGTTGCAAAATCAGATTGGGGAAGATGAGAGGCTAGCCGGCATCAGGGTAGCCTTGCGCAAGGACCCTTCGTCCATTGATCATTGGTCAGTTACGGAGGGCTGACTGCTGTATAAACGACTAGTACTTCCTAAGGGGTCCAATCTGATTCCCAGCTTACTCCAGGAGTTTCATGGCAGTGCAGTGGGAGGACATTCAGGAGTCTTAAAGACGTATAAAAGAATTGCCAGAGAGTTGTTTTAGTGGGGATAAAAAAGGATATTCAGTCTTTTGTGGAAGCATGTTCTGTCTGTCAACAGAATAAATACTTGGCCCTCTCTCCAGCAAGTTTGCTGCAACCCTTGCCAATTCCGAAGGCGATTTGGGAGGATTTAACAATGGATTTTATTGAAGGTTTACCCAGGTCTCGAGGGTGGGATACTATCATAGTGGTGGTGGATCGGTTAAGCAAGTATGCTCATTTTATGACCTTGAAACACCCATTCTCGGCTAAGACAGTGGCTGAGTTGTTTATACATGGAGTGGTTAAACTTCATGGTTTTCCCAGATAATTGGTATCGGATAGAGACAAAATTTTCCTTAGCTTGTTTTGGACTGAGCTTTTTAGGCTACAAGCTACGCAACTCCGACGTAGTACGGCTTACCACCCACAAACTGATGGGCAGTCTGAGGTCATGAATCGCTGTCTAGAGACTTACTTGAGATGCTTCGCTAACAGTCATCCTCGCACCTGGTCAGAGTGGATACCGTGGGCTGAATTCTGGTACAACACTTCGTTCCATACATCTACTAAGACAACTCCTTTTAAGGTAGTATATGGGCGGGACCCTCCCCCGGTTATACGTTATGAAAACCAGCAGACACCAGTGGCTGAACTTGATCAGCAGCTACAGCTCCGCAACAACATGTTGGATGAGTTGAAGTTGCAATTGGCAAAGGCACAGTCCAGGATGAAAAAAGTCGCAGATAATAAAAGGAGGGCAGTACAGTTTGAGGAAGGGGACTTGGTTTACCTCAAACTCCAGCCTTATCGACAGAAATCCTTGGCTAAGCGTATGAATCAGAAATTGTCCCCCAGGTTCTTTGGTCCTTATCCAGTGATCCGGAAGATTGGAGAAGTTGCTTACAAGCTTCACCTGCCAGACTCAGCCAGCATCCATCCTGTGTTTCATGTCTCTCAGTTATGTAAGGTAGTTGGCCCAGCGACGCACACGCAGCCCCTCCCACCCCTTCTCAGTTCAGAGTTGGAATGGACCGTACACCCAGCTAGTGTTTTGGGCATCAGGCCAAGTACTGATCCATCTGTTCAAGAACCAGAGGTACTTATTCAGTGGCAGAATCTCCCCTCTTTCGAAGCTTCCTGGGAACCATTTGAGCTGATCAACTCTCAGTTTTCGGAATTCCACCTTGGGGACAAGGTGCTTTTATTGGCGAAGGGTATTGATAAACCTCCCATTCGATTCACCTATCAACGGCGTCACAAGAAAATGATGTGAGGGGAGTTAGGAGGGAATATTAGCTGTTAGATTTGTTGAAATAATTAGTTATGCTGATGTCATAGTTGTTAATAAATAGTGGAGTAGTAGAGTCGAGTGGGGCATTCAGAAAAGAGGAAAAATCTGAACCAATTGGAGAGGGGCAGCTCTCGAAACCTGCCGTGTTACTCTTTACTACCGTCTGTTCAATTTACACATTCAATCAAACATTTCTTCTCTTATTCAGTTCTGCGTTGCTATAATTCAGCCTTGATTAGGTCGAATTGTATTTTGGTGCAACTAATTTCACTGGGTTTAAGCGGGTTCCATCTTGTGCCTTTAGTACCTATTAGTATAATCTTGTTATAACAGCATGTACTCGATACTCAAGTGTTTCATATCATCAGTCATACAGGAACAAATATCATACTTACCTCAATTATGTATAATCGGTTTTAGGTCCCAATTATCATCAAATGATGTCACGCGAGAGTCTGCATTTCTAATTGAACTTGGATAGATGCTTCTCTATTTGTTTATAATGTGTGTGTTTGTGTGTCCATCCGCGAAAAAGATCCACCAACCTGAGATTTGGGAACCAAACTGCCAAGCATTGCTTTAAGCGTTCCACTCCTTAAAGCATTTTCTGTAATGACCCATGGTCTGCACAGAATAAACAGAAATATGAATGCCTGGAACAGAAAAAACTAAAATTCCATATAATTTTATTATTTGCATGAGCTAAATGTGCATATCAGCATTTTAAGTGCCAGATATAAGGAAATTTGTCAAACAAACATGAGGATGAGTAATAATTATGATAATCAAGATTCCCAACTGCCAATCAAAATGTAGGAAATGAACAAATCATTTCTCTGTATTTTGTTTCTCCACAATAGATGAATCCCAACATAATACCCAAGTATTTCTAATTTTTCCAGAAATGAATAGAAAGTAACTAATGCTTTCCTCTATCTTCACCGACAAATGTAAATGTATGAAAGGGCAACCCAACCTTAATGCTATCACACAATGTTCATTTAATCCAAAGACACTTCTTTATGGGATTTCACTAGGGTGTGATTCTCAAGGTCTTTGATGAAAGAAAGGTAAACATGACACCATTCCTTGGTGTTATGCTGCTTCCTATAAAAGCACAAAATTTATTAATTTATACTTTATCTTCAGCATGTCCCTCTCGTGCATGTTCAAGTCATTTTCCATTAAAAGAACGTATCTGTGTCCAACACTTTTCGGATACCGACACTACTCGAACACTCTACCATAATCATTGGTGTTTTAATTAGAAATATTACATATTTTTAACTCAAGATTTAAAAGATGTCAGGATAAAATTAATAACAAGTATAAAACTAAAATTATACTATATAGATTAAGGATTTCAAGAATTTAATCAACGTGTCGAAGACTTGTCACATCAGTACATTTTTGAAAAATCGGGCGTCGAATAACACACGTGTACATGTCGGTGTATCATAGAAAGCCTTAAACAAGGTATTTTCCCAAATAGGTACTGATGAGATATCAGGAGCTTCGTGTCACGGGTTTAGTTTTGTTACACTCGCACAACTAGAAACCGTGCGGACTTAACATTCAAAATTCCCGTCCCTCGCGAGAAAACGTTAAGTCAGCATTTCAACGCTCACAAATAATACAACCAACTAGGCTAAATTACTATAACCTTGAGTAGATGATTTGAAGTAAGGAAGAAAACAAGTAAGATTGGGGAAAACACTCTTTATATATAAATAACTTCACTCTCATGAATCCCTTTACAAATGAGAATACATCTCTATTTATAGGAAAAAGCCTTGGAATCAAAGCCCAGATTAATCTTCATCCAATGGTCCTCATTGGATGCAAGTTGCATTAACCAGTCACAACGTGCTGCCTCTGTCACGAGTCTACTTTTGTTACACTCAAACAACTAGAAACCGTGCGGCCTTAACGTTCAAAATTCCCGTCCCTCGCGAGAAAACGTTAAGTCAGCATTTCAACGCTCACAAATAATTTAACCAACTAGGCTAAATTACTATAA